CAATGTCAAGAAAACAAAAATCCTCACCACTGGACCAATAAACAACATTTTTATCAACGGAGAAAAGATTGAAGTTGTCAAGGACTTCATTCTGCTTGGATCAACTATCAACACTCATGGAAGCAGCAGTCCAGAGATCAGACGACATATTGCACTAGGTAAATCTGTTGCACAAGACCTTTTTAAAGTGTTGAAGAGCAAAGATGTCAGCTTGAGGACTAAGGTGCGCCTGACCGATGCCATGGTATTTTCAATAACCTAATATGGATGTAAAAGCTGAACAGTGAATAAGGAAGATCGTAGAAGAACTGATGCCCTTGAATTATGGTGTTGGAGGAGAATACTGAAAGTGCCATGGGCTGCCAAAAGATCCAATAGATCTGTTTTGGAAGAAGTGCAGCCAGAATGCTCCTTAGAGGCCAAGATGGCCAAACTTCGTCTCATACTTTGGACATATTGTCAGGAGGGAACAGTCGCTAGAGAAGGCTGTCGTGCTTGGTAAGGTGGAGGGTCAGCGAAAAAGAGGAAGACCCCCAATAAGATGGATTGGCCAGGTGGCAGCATCGATGAACTCAAGTGTGGCAACAGTAGTGAGGTTGGCCCAGGATGGAACAGTGTTTCGTTCTGCTGTGTATAAAGTCGCTATGAGTCGGTGCCGACTTGATGGCACCTGACAACCACAACGTTAAAGAGCTAAATAGTATTGTAAGCAGTAAAGCTTCATTTAAAGTTCCATTTGCTTTTTCACCTATTTATAAACGCATCATTTCATACCCTACAAGCTTACAAACCTCAGTAGTTCTAATAGCTTTTTTATCAGTGATATATAGGATATTCTATATACACAGATAAAAACCATTTTAGCTCTTCTTTTCGTACCTGAATACATTGATTGTATTTTCTTCCCTGCTTCATTGCCCTGACAGGACCTCTCTAGGAAAGGCTGACGAGACGTAGTGTGAATGATACAGTCCCTAGTTTCTGATTTCACAGACAAAGCTTTCCATTTGTCAGGATTTAGTCACTTGTCCTCTGTCAGGGTGAAGACATTCCAAGTTTGCTGAGAGTTTTCAATCAGAAATGGGTATGGGATTTTATCAAAGGCTCGTTCCATATCTAGTCAAGTGGTCATGGGGCTTTTCTTGTATAGCCTATTAATATAGTCAGCTGCGTTGATTGATTTTCTAATGTGAAGTGAATTTGTATTCCTGGGATAAGCCTCCAATTGGTCATGATATAATTTTGTTTTATGCATTTTGGGATTTGAATTGTTAAAATTTTATTCACTTCTGCATTCATGTTGATGAGGTATATTGGTCTGTAGTTTTCTTGAAATACCTTTTTCTGACTTTGGTATCAGCATAATTAACGCTGGTTCAGAATGAGTTGGGAAGCGTTCTCACCTCCTTTTTGTAAGGCAGTTGTGTAGATTTGGTATTATTTCTTCCCTAAATGTTGAGTAGACTTCACCAGTAAAATGATCAGGAACTAGCATTTTCTTGGTGGACAGTTTTTAAAGTACAAATTTCATTTTTTATAGTTAAATTTTCAATGTCTTATTGAGTAGCTTTGGATAGTATTATCTTTTAAGGAATCTGTGGCTTTCTTCTAAGCTGTCTAAGTTATTTGTATGAAGTTGTTAAGATTTCCTTATTTTCCTTGTAATGTCTGTGTAAGAGCTCTAGTGATATCCCACTCATTCCTGATACACTTGTGTGGGTCTTCTCATCCCCTCTTACCCCTAACCCATCAGTCTGGCTACACGTTGCCAAGTGTGTTGAACTTCTCAGAGAATCAAGTTTTGCCTTCATTGATAGTCTTTAGTGTTTCCTGTTTTCTCCTGTGTGAATTTTTGTACTGGTCTTCATTGTTGCCTTTCTTCTGCGTATTTCGGGTTCCACTTGCTCTTCTTTTTGTAGTGACTTATGGTAAAATTTGAGGCCTTTCTTTTCTGGTGTTGGGTATTTCATGCTGAGTGGAAGTTACCCTGTTGAAGAAGTCTCATCATTTCTTTAACCAGTCCTCTGTCTCAATGGCACCCAACAACAATTGTTGCTAGACATTTTGGGTCTTAATTTTTTTGCTACTTGATAATGAACAGTGAAGCAGGAAAATTTTTCTGCCTTGAAGTAGTGAGAATGGAAATGATAATCTAATGGAAATTGATCATCTAAATGGTCCTTTATCTAGTCAAGAAATTGAATTCATACTTAAAATATTTTCCACAAAGAAAATTCTAGGCCCTGAGGATTTCACTGATGAAGCCCCTGCAACATTTGATGAAGAAATGACACCAAATCTACACACATCCTCCCAAACAGTGGAGGAGAAAACATTTCCCAACTCATTCTGAGCCAGTGAAGCCAAATATGAGAAGAATTGGCATTTTTTCAATACTAACTTGCCTGTCGAGAATAGTATATATTCAAGAAAGTTTGCAATTCTTTTCTTTCTACAATTTTTCCTCCTTTGGAGGCCTTTATTGTCATTGTAAGTTCCCCACATGTTTGCTAGGTTCCTTCTCATTGTTTTCTCTTTGTCTTATTTCTTAGTTTACTAGAAATAGTGCTCATGCGTCACTATTGAGTGGCTTCCTGTCTTTTAGATTAATCATGTTAAGGAATTATTCATCAGTTTCTATTTTAAGATATCAGTGTTGAATATTCATTTATTGCCTTTTCAACTTATTTTTCCTCCAACCTATTGATGTCATGAAGTATTTGAACTGGATAACTTTATATTGACCCTTTTTTGTAAACCCAAAATGAAAACATCGGTGTGTTCTGATTTGGGTGAATTCCTCCTTTAATGTGCTTCTGGAACTGATTGGCTAACATTTTGCTCATGTTTTTGTTGGCTGTTAGGAAGCAAGATGGTGGTCTGCAAGCTGATGAGCTATTCTTTATTGCCCCTGTCGCGTTGTTGGTGCCTTTGTTCCAAAAACTGTGAAAGGAGTTTGAAAGCATTCCTCTTGCTCTCCACAGTAGGAGAATGCATTAGCATTGGGTTGCCCATTCCTGGAGGGTGTGAATATACCAGTAGATGTCTCTGGGCTGGAAAGAGCCAAACGTTCATCAACGTTCATCAGTTTCTTACACATTGATAAATCTGTTTTAAGTGTTTTCCTCTTCCTTCAAGTCAGTTTTGCTAGTAATTCCTCAAGTGGTTCTTTATTGGTTGTTACTCAACTTTGAGTAGAGCATATTGCACCCCAGGTGACAATGTGCCGAAGATTATGTTGAAAGGGTGGACGGAGCTGCCAACAGCGTCAGCCCCTCGGTGAAAGCCCTCGGGAAGGTCTCGCTGGCTCGGGCCTGGAGATGCGGGAGCTACCCTGTGCAGGCAGGCAGTCTGGGTTTTGGCTTCACATGCACACAGACCTGGGAGTCTGCCCTGAGAAGCTAGGTCCTGGCAGGTCTTAGGGCCTGCTGTTAGACCCCTTGTGTCCCTCCACCCGAGACTGAATTTGCCAGCAGTTCTGCACAGGTGCACATCAGCTCTTATACCTCTGCTTGTTTGTCACCAGGCTTCTCTGTACGGAGTAGAGACTCTTCGCCAGCTGGGCTCTTTTCAGGGAGATAGAGCTCCAGTCTCCATTTTTTATTCTTTTAATGATTTTCAGTTAATTTCAGGGGACACTTTTATCATCCGTTTTCTGTTGACACTTTAGTATTACTATTTCTCCAAGTCTTCATAGACTGTACTTTCACTTTTTTCCCACTCTTCTAATGTATACATTGAAACAGAAAAACTCCCAGAAAGAAAGGAATTCCTGCTTTTCTGATAAAACTCCTCATTTCCTACTGTTTTGTGTAGACAAACACAGTAAATGACCCCCAGTCCTTCTGATTTCCCTCCGATGCCCTTGAGAAGCATGTCAGAGCTGACCTTGGCTGCAGTCCTTATTGTACACAGTTTGTCGGGGTCACAGTAGATTGCCGATGTAAAGGACTCCCATGGCTGTGCTTGTCTTGGTTTTTCTAACCCTAAAGTCCTCTTCTGGTCTGTACTGTTTTTGACAGGACTACAAGCAGACGATGCCACTTCGCTCTTGAACAGGCCATCCATTTAGGGGCAAAAGGTACTATTTTTGTGGACCGGTAATGTTGTCTTCTTCAATCATGCATTAGCAGTAAAACTGGCTGATGCCCATGTTTTCTGTTTGGACTTCTGGTTTTCTCCTGTGTTAGGCATGTAAAAGTGGTGTGCTTCCATGCTGGGAGATGCGTCCTTTACACTCTGGTTTTTCCATCTTCATAGAACCAACTGTTGTCTTAGGAATAGATGAGTCAGGGGGGCGGGGGGTGCTGGAAGGAATGCTTAGCACTTGTGCTGTGCTTCATTTTGACGCCGTCTAAAAGGGGCTGAAAGGCCGGGGGGGAGGGGGGATATGGAGCACTTGGTGGGATTGGCCATAACCAGTCAAGTGGTCTTCATTCCTCTTTTGTAAAGTTCTCACTAACGTGTCTGTCCTCTCAACTTTTCTTGTTTTCAAAGTGTTGTTTCCCGAAGAAATCATTTTACAGTCTCCCCAAGTGACAGAGCGTTGGAGCCATGTACAAAATACCACAGATGAGGGACAGCCTGCCTCCAAGGTAGCATTTTAATGACTTTGATATTTTGCATGGGTAATGTTATGAATTTGCTTCCTTATGGCCTACCTCCCAGTTTATGGGGCATTAGAGGAGTGTCGTCCACAAGTAATCCAAAATCACAGTTAGAATGAATTTCAATATTCATAAAATCAATTTAGTGTGATGCTTGCATACAATTGTACGCAGGGTTAGGAAGGCTGGAACGTATTAGGGAGGGTGGGGGAAGCAGAGCATCCACTGAAAGCCCGATGGAGCACAGTCCTCCTCTGACATGCAGGGGCCACCATGAGTCTTTGGAGTCCACTCAGCACCATCCAGAAAGGAGGAAGGCCTGGGGTTAACAGACTGCTTTCTGTGTTCACTCAGGCAGGCGCAGATGTTCTGTGATTGGTTAGCACTCGCAGTCTTTGTGAAAGTTGCAGAGATCATCTGTTTCTTACTTTTACCTTCCATATATACTGATGGGCTGCGTATTACGTGCCAGGCTCGCAGCGTACTTCCATAAACAGATGGTAGTGATTTTCATTATCGTGTGGATCCAGTATCAAGGACAATAACCAGTGCCGTGGTGGAACTTACAGCCTGTCATTCCATGTTGCTGGAATTTGCTTTTATGATGAGCATGTCTTAAATTTATAATAAGTATACTCTTAAAAATTATATCTAATATTAGACATTAGTCACCATTTTGTAGCCCCTCTCCAAAAAATGCAAAATTGATCATTTTAGAATGGCTGTACAATCAATCATAAGAGAAGAACTTTGGCCTCCAGGGAAGGTGGAAGTCTGTGTTGGAAGACATGCAGCCAGAGCGCCCCCTGGAGGCCAAGATGGCCAAACTTCGTCTCATACTTCGGATATATTGTCAGAAGGGACCAGTTGCTGGAGAATGGTACCATGTTTGATAAGGTGGAGGATCAGAGAAAAAGAGGAAGACCCTTAGCGAGATGGATTGGCAAAGTGGCAGCGTCAATGGGCTGAAGCGTGGCAACAATAGTGAGGTTGGCCCAGGATCGGGCAGTGTTTCGTTCAGTTGTGCAGAGGGTCACTGTGAGTCAGAACTGACTTCGATGGCACCTAACAACAACATGCAATCATGAAGGAGTTCTGGTAGCGTAGTGGTTACGAGTCGAGCTGCCAACCTCAAGGTCAGCAGTTCTAAACTACCAACTGTTCAGCAGGAGACTTTCTGCTCCTGTAAAGATTTACAGCCCCAGAAACCCTATACAGGGTTGCCATGAGTCAGAACGGCACACCACCACCACTGCCATACAATCCTGGGAAAAGCTTTCAAAGAAACAGCAAAAGGTCATCCATTGAACTTATGTGCCATGTGTTTTAGTCTAGTCTGTTTTGTTCTGGAACTAGCAGTGTCTTCACTGGTACCAGTGAAGAGCCTTCTTCCCTCCTGTACCTCGGTCCACTCCAGGGCAGACTGTATGCCATAGTGGGACATGGGGTGGGGCATTCCTGACTGGCCAAATCTTCTTGGTTTTAAATGCTGCCATCCACAAGGTTGAAGATAAACTCAAGGGCACGGCACACTCCTGCCAAGATCGAGTCACAAGGACGAGACTTGCCCTCCCACCTGAAATTCTGAAAAGCCAAGAATGTGAAGCCACAGAAATCAGCAGACTATGGCCCCTAAGGGAGAGGCCAGAACTGAGGTGACTTCTCTGGCAGCCCAACTCAACAGAGTCCAGCACTGAGCCAGCCAGAGCCCCTGGTATTCCTGAGTGGAGGGGACAAGAGAGCAGAGTACCAGTGAGATCCCGTGTGGCTGAGAGGAACCCTGAGGCTGGGAAAGACCACCCAGGAGGAACAGAGCCAGAGAAGGAAACTGTGGTGCCCCAGGGCATCAGCCCCACACTGTAGGTATAGGCCACTCTGGTCCAACTTTAGAAAGAGTTGAAAGCTAGTCGCCAAAGTTTTAGACTATTGCCAAGCATGTCCTAGAAGAAGGGCCGGGAATATTTGTAGATGCAAAAATATCCACACCCAACAGGGAGTAAACCTGGCAAATGCCTGTCACCCCACCAAATATATCCATAATGAGAAAAGTCAGCCAACTGTAACCAACTCATAACTGGCACGTAGACCAACCACTGAGACAGTGACTAGAGCTATCATGCACATGTACACTTGAGCATGTTACATGGCGACGGGAGATCTGTGGGAAACCCAGAGCTGTCCTCTAGAGAAGCATCGATGGATTGAATTGTGTCCCCAAAGTATGTGTCAGCCAGACATGATTCTCAGTGGTTTGTCAGCTAGCGGACGATCCCCCATGATGTGGCCTGATAGCAATAAACCAGGAAGAGGATGAAGGTCATGGTGCAACAGCCCTTAGCCCATTTAAGGAGTGTTTCCTCTAGTTGTAGTCTGCAGCGCTTTCACCGTACAGAAGAGAAAAGGACCGAGAAGCCAGCAGAGAAGGACCTCAGTACCACCAAGAAGAGACCGGAGCCGGAGCATGGCTATTAGATTCAGTTCCTGTACTGAGAACTTCCTGAGCACTCCAAGGAAATCCAGACCCACATATGCTGACCAACAGAGAGAAAGCCTCCCCCTAGAGCTGGTATACTGAATTTGGACTTCTAGCCTCTTGCAGAACTGAAAGAATAAATTGCCCGTTAAAGTCATCCACTTGCGATATTTCTGTGAGCTCAGCACTCGAAAACGGATGCAGCATGTGATGACAGCAACATACAGAGTGAGCAGCAGATGATGCAGCAGTGAACTGAAGAGCCAGCAACGGGCATCGTCTAAGATGAAGGACTAAGGTGCGCCTAACCCAGGCCATTGTGTTTTCAGTAACCTCATATGGATGCGAAAGCTGGACAGTGACTAAGGAAGATCGTAGAAGAATTGATGCCTTTGAGTTGTGGTGTTGGAGGAGAATACTGAAAGTGCCATGGACTGCCAAAGAACCTGTTTTGGAAGAAGTGCACCCAGAGTGCTCCTTGGAGGCCAGGATGGCTAAGCTTCGTCTCTCCTACTTTGGACATATTGTCCGGAGGGACCAGTCACTTCAGAACGATACCATGTTTGGTAAGATGGAGGATCAGAGAGAAAGAGGAAGACCCCCAACAAGATGGATTGGCCAGGTGGCTGCATCAATAGCATCAAGTGTGGCAGCGGGAGTGAGGTGGGCCCAGGATTGGGCAGTGTTTCGTTCTGCTGTGCATAAGGTCACTATGAGTCGGTGCTGACTCAGTGGCACCTGACAACAACAACAAAGTTGTTTTAGTGTCTTCAATGATTGGGGTCTTAAGTTTTATTTCTAATTTTATCCTAACTCATCAGCATACAAAATTGTAAAGTTTGATAAGTTTTCATTGTGAATTGAGTGATAATTTAAATGGGAGAACTTTGGATTTACACTCATCATTTCATTGATTACAGTGTCCTCCGGGCATCATCATCCAACAGTATTTGCTTCTATTCCCCCTGTTGTGTTGTTTTTGGGGGTTTTTTTTGGCAGCGAGGGGAGGGGGGGCGGGGAGATGTACACCAAAACACTCAGGTGCATCTTACAATTTAAACAACCAAAGGCACGTTCTGTAAGCCTGCCTCCTGGCCACCAGCACACAGTCTTTTTCTTTCTGTGAGTCTAGATCCTCAGCTGCCCCCCCTCTCCATGTCCTCATCTTTGCCTCCATCTCTGGTGTCGCTGCTTCTCTGGATAGGGTTCCATATTCCTCTTGTACTCTCCTCCCTTGATGATCCAAGGTTCTTTTGTTCCCGGACTGCAAGATTAACTACTCTTCACCTTTTTGTTACAAAATTTCTACCTTTACAGTTCTGACAGTTATTAGTCATGATAACAGTTACTCACTATTGAATCATAAGACTCTTACCCTTAAAGTATTATTAAATAACTATAAAATGACTGAAATTTTTCAAATTATATGAAAACTATAAACACATATCCAGAAAGTTCAGCAGATCCTAAGTACAATAAACATGAGGAAAACTACCCCAAAACACATAATGATCAAATCCCTTAAAGCCAGACAAAGAGAAAAGCTTAAAACCAGGCGAAAAGATTCACTGTGTGGAAAATAAAAATAGGAGCAATGGCAGGCTTCTCATTGGAAACAGCAACGCAGAAGACAATCTTCCAACTAATATCTTTAATAAAAGGGGACCGAGGACCTGGATCAATTTTTTTTTTCAAAAAGAAAGGCAACAGAAAGAGCGTGGGGGGAAAGAAAGAGTCCCCACTGAATAGTTATCATCTTGTCTAGATGGGTCTGGTGAAAGGA